ACATGAACATTGCCGTTGGTAATCAGTAGAGATGGGCGGAATATTCGGTTTATGTTCGGCATTCAGCATGTTCGGCAGATTTACCGAAAATTCGGTTTTCAAATGTTCGTTGAATTTGCCGAATATTAGGCCGAACAAGAACATATCCTTTCTGTATATTTTTCGTCGTAAATTGTTATGTCAAGTCAATACAAGGAGTGACGCAGTTTATTTATATTTGTTGCCATGTGTCTAATGAGAAAAGTTAGATGGATAGCGAAAGGAGTGGTCCGGTGCGAATCAGCGAGTATTTTATTAACAAGTAAGGCTCCTAAATGTTTTATACCAGGAGTAAAAGAAAGGGGGTCAAGTTACTCATAAAACTGAACAACTTTCCCTATGGAACATGGGTCGAAATATGAGAAAAAAATTTGGACCTCCCATACAAAATTGCCGATCAGCTGATTAATTTACTATAATTGACCCATGTTCCATAGCGAAAGTAGTTCAGTTTCATGGGTACCTTGACCTCCTTTCGGCTTGTTATACCCTTTCTATTACTCTCTGTATAGACATGGTTTGGCTAACTTTTTACTGAATTTGCGGCCGAATATTCGTATGAAACTTATGTTATGCCCATCTCTAGTAATCAGTATGGTATAGCAGTATCGTTCGCTGATATTTTTCCATGAGAATAAATGCAAAACATTTTACCGAATATTCGTATTGGTGAAACCTATGTTATGCCCATCTCTAGTAATCAGTATGGTATAGCAGTATCGTTCGCCTGATATTTTTCCATGAGAATAAAATGCAAAACATTTTACCGAATATTCGTATTCGGTGAACCCTATGTTATGCCCATCTCTAGTAATCAGTATGGTATAGCAGTATCGTTCGCCTGATATTTTCCATGAGAATAAATGCAAAACATTTTACCGAATATTCGTATTCGGTGAACCCTATGTTATGCCCATCTCTAGTAATCAGTATGGTATAGCAGTATCGTTCGCCTGATATTTTTCCATGAGAATAAATGCAAAACATTTTACCGAATATTCGTATTCGGTGAACCCTATGTTATGCCCATCTCTAGTAATCAGTATGGTATAGCAGTATCGTTCGCCTGATATTTTTCCATGAGAATAAAATGCAAAACATTTTACCGAATATTCGTATTCGGTGAACCCTATGTTATGCCCATCTCTAGTAATCAGTATGGTATAGCAGTATCGTTCGCCTGATATTTTTCCATGAGAATAAAATGCAAAACATTTTACCGAATATTCGTATTTGATGAAACCTATGTTACGCGCATCTCTAGTAATCAGTATGGTATATAGCAGTATCGTTCGCTGATATTTTTCCATGAGAACCGTAACCGGATGTGGGTCAGTTATCGCCATTTTGCTGTTCTTAAATAATACGACACGAGTATAGTTGGGTGAAATTCAAACTACACGTCTTCCATCATCTATCAAAATTTTAAATTACCCCATAAGTATAAGTCATGCACAATAATATAACCATTTTCCTCTATGTATTTTTTACTAAATTAAGACGAACTAGAGGCCCGAGAGGACCTAGCGGTAACTCCCGCGACTACCTAAGAATAGTATCACCCCATGTCTTCCCCTGGGTGTCGTCATGGTGTGTATTGCAATTGCAGGCGACAGGCTGACACACAGTCTTCTGAATGACTCTCAAACTTTTGTAAGACGTGGTATAAATGGCCATTTACGCTATATAGCCGCTTACGCTCTGCCTACCCCGCATGGGATATAGGCGTGATATTATATGTATAACGTATGTGTAAATTCTTCAATATCAAAATCCCCTTTGCAATAGGATAAAATAACCCGTACTTGGCTTTTTACCCTAACCCAGTTACAAAATCCTCCCTCGTGCCTTCAAGGACCCGACCTGAACTTGACATAATGAAGGGAGGTCTCGTAAGAACCCTTATTGACGGATGCTATCAATAGAATGATACCTGTGTATACTATTATTATACAAAGAATAACTTAGTATGCCTGCCTGCCAAGCAAAGGTTTCGGGTTCAATTCCCGGTGGGGTCATTCACAAAGTTGATATTTATCACTTTGTGAATTTGTTCCCAGTCTGGTTAGGACATTGCAGGCTGAACCACCTGATTGTCCGCAAGTAAGATGGTTCCGTGCTTCGGATGGGCACGTTAAGCCGTCGGTCCCGGTTGCTGTGCTTCTATGATGGCGGTCGTTACACGACCATGTCAGAGGCCTGCTACTTGCAATAGGCGGTTGAAAAACTCTGACACTAGGGTTCATCGGGTCGTTGAACGACTCGGTGTCCTACACGAAAAGAGAGAGAGAGAAAGAATAACTGAACGACCGGCTTTTCTGATGCTGCTAGCTCAACAGGTCAAACTGCATATTTTTCCCCGAGGACCAAAGGTCAAAGTATGAAATAAATAAACGGCCAAATGCGACTCAGATTTGCGCACTAAGGTTGCCGTACTATTGTGAATAAAAAAGGAATAAAAATCACGTTTGTTGTTTTGTATGGGAGCCACCTATAGTCGTGTCCCACTGCAGGGCCTAGGCCTAATTTTTAGTACTTACCTATTAGTTCACGATAAAATGATAGAAAACAGTTCTGCCTACCTCGTTCGAACACATACGCATGTCTTTCAAGCAACTATGAACATCTAAAATATAATGCCGTTCGACAGTATTTATTTTCGTAACGTTCTGAACAAAAATAGGTGGCAAAAACGTAGGTGTAATGAAACAGTGTGTAGCAAACGAGTGTGTGACGTTTTAAACACGTGCTTGCTTGAGAGGAAGTGCTCCAGTACTTATTGTCCGTTCACAGGACGTAAAAAAAAACAGTCAAGTGCGAGTCGGACTCGCGCACTAAGGGTGCCGTACCATTGTGTATAAAAATAGCATACAAATTACGTTTATAGTATGCGATCGCACCCTTATTTTACCGCCACAGCATCTGTAAAAATTTCAACTGTCTTTTACGATTTAATTAGATACAGCCTGATGGGTGACGGACAGTCAGCGAAATCTCAATAATAGCGTTCCGTTTTCACCATTTGGACACGGCACCCTAAAAATGAGAGTTTTGGCCCTCTCAATTAAATTTTATAGGGTACTTACTACCTGTGGATCTAGACTAGACCTATGTTTAGTAAGTACGCTACTTAGCTTCGTTTTTTTTTTAATTCATGATGTTTTTAGAGGGCCCAAAAAGAACGCAATGACTAAAATAGTCTAGTTTAGATAGGGTATTATTAAAATGGCTTGGCGTGATAGATATGTTACGAAGCCCTATTTTCTTATTTTGTCCTATGCTCCATGAAGAACATTCTTGGTCTGGTTCACACCTTGGATATTTTGCTATTAAATATCGCTTTATCACAAAAATCCGCCAGTATTTCACAATCTACGATCGAACGATGACACTCATATCATAACTGTACGGTGTTGGATACGGAATCGAAGACAATTTTCTTTGTGAAGCATCTTTCTGTCGTTCTCATGTATATTGACCTCGTAATACAACTGACAGATACAGATATAACGTTTTAACTTCGTGATGTTGCTAAAGATAGCTGTAAAATATATCTATTATGCGTTCAAAAGCGTATCGACAGCTAAATTCTTCATCGTCATAATAACGTCATAGTAGTATGAATAAGATTTTTGTAAATAGTATACAGGGAGTAACAAAAAGGGTATAAACAAGGCGAAAGGAGGTCAAAATAGGTACCTACTCATCAAACTGAACAACTTTCCCTACGGAACACGGGTCGAAAATAGTCGATTTATACAAAATCGCCGATCAGCTGATTGATTAACTATGGAAGGTCCAATTGCTTTTTTTTAATATTTCATGTTCCATGGGAAAAGTTGTTCAGTTTCATGAGTACCTTGACCTCCTTTCGGCTTGTTATACCCTTTTTGTTACTCCCTGTGTAGAGCATAGTGACCCATAGTCACCGTTTTAATGAAAAATGTAGTCTAGAACGTCAAAAATACAGTACTCCGGTCACGGGCACACCTTGCATCTGTAATTTTACAGTTTACAGTTTGCTTGAAAGGGATAGCTGTTTCAGAGACTATCACCTCTTTAAAATGCAAACAAGAACAGTTAGAAAGACAGACCCAAAAAAAGCAAATAAAATCCCACAGTAACTTCTCACATTTCCTCGATTCGCGATTTTTTACGACAATCTCGATTCTCGCGGCGCGATCCGCTCGCGCGCACCATCCGTTTCACTTTTGCACACTTTCACTTGCTAACTGTACTAGCCGCTTGTAAGCAAAAACATGCCTTATTTCGTTGACGGTAAGTCTGTAGTCACATCGTATTCTCATTTTGATAAAATGTACAGAACTGATATAGTAGACATACAAAAGTTTACTTTATTTCCTTGAAGCTTAAGTGTCTATTTGTAAGGAAAGAGTAATCATTATAGTGCTTTTTAAAGTTTTACGGAATGGTACCTTACGTTAATGGAAAAGCAGTTGTCTGTCATAAGGAAATAAAGAGCAAATTGCCTTAAAGAGCGAGGTAAAGCCGAACGAGGTAACTACCAGTTGGTTGAGATTTACAGGTTGAGTTTTTATAGATTCTCAGGAACTGATTGCAGAAATGACCTGATATGAATTTAAAAATTCTCTTTGATAATATAAAAATAACAATACTTACTTATCTCACTAGGTTAGGCATATTTCCCTAACATAGGCTACTCTTCAACGGGAAAATCCATTACTCCAACAGGAAAACGGTAAGCTGAAAAGGTAACACTGCGATGGCCTCAAGTAGGTATTATATGCCAATAATATGGCACTATGAGTGCATTAAAATGCAAATAGATAGATTAAGCAACAGCTTCTGGTTTGAATTCCTACTGTAGTGTGGACTAACCAGGAAATAAAGTTGTAAATACTTTCTACAGACGTCACTAGATCATCGCTTGGATACGAGCATCAAGAGATTAAAATTTGCCAGGCATCGATCGGTGCATTGCATCGATAGCACTGTGGCAGAGCGGTGGGGTGTTGTTATTGTTACCCATGCGTCCGGGTTCGAGCCCCGGTCGATGCATGACATTTTATCAATTTCTCAGTTTCATATATGAGAATAACATTGCCATTTCGGTGTCTATTCTTAATCTGTTCGAGTTATGTTAGCAAGGCGCACCGGCGGCCGGTACCGTAGCCCGTAACAGCTTGTGTCATCCGTAACGGTGAAACTCGGTTACGTTACCGCTACTTACGAGAGAGCTAATTGGAGCAGCTCTTCGCGATTTGGCCGCGTTATACTTCATCTGAATAAACTGTTTTATCACTTTCATGGTCACAAGTTTATAAGGTCCTATTAAATTCACTGCAAATATTTTAGGGGCAGATCAAATAAAATATAAGCATGTACTAGGCAAATTTTCAAAGAAAACTACACGCTAGTTTTCGAGAAAATTGCATTTAACTAAAAAAAAAACAAAACGAAAAAAAGTGCACCCTGTTTGTCCTAGAAACACATACTTCGATGAATTTAAATTACGCGCCAAAAATAGGTGCTGTGATTGGTTGGTTGTTAGTGTGCGTGCCGTGTAAGTGAATCCTGTTTACGTGGCGGAACATCAGTCGGGCTCAGTCAAAGGATGTTCACATAATTAATTAAAAAGTTTGTTTGAAAATGAAAAAAAAAAAATCTAGCGTGTAGATTTCTTTTTAAATGCCTTAGATGTTTTTCACGAGAAGTGTTTTAAAATTTGGTATTCAATGTTTTTCTTATACATATTTACGTATGCACTTACAATATTTGCAGTGAATTTAATAGGACCTTATATATATAATTAATTAAACACGGAAAATTCATTAAAATCGTCATCGTAAGAAGCAAGATTAAGAGAATGTTGAAAATTGGGTAGGTAAATGGTATTTATCACGGGGTGGGCAGAGCAAAAACGGCTGGAAAAAACTGCTATTTACACCAACTGTGACAAAGTTTCTCAAAAAGTGACAAAGACTCATTCAGAGTATTTATGACTAATCTGGATTTTCACCTATAGAGGTAGGTCCCAAACGCTTTAAAAGAGACTGTGATTTATGCTGAAAAGAATATACGTCAAGACATGTAGATTTATTATGTTTACCTTCACATTCTGAATGTCCTGAGACGAGTACAGAAGTTTTATAAATGACAGACAAAACTTCTGAGAAATGAAATAGTCGCTACGATACAACTCTGCCGGACAATTTCTTAGCTATTCCTGTTACCATTCTACAAATAGCTGCTTCTGATAAGTATAGTTTAAAAAAAATGGGAATATTATAAAGTTTATGGTAATATTTTCACCAAATCATACTTTGATTGTCCATGTGGTGATGCCTACTAAGAATAGCATCACCCCATTTCTAACCATGGGTGTCGTAAAAGGCGAATAAAAATGAATCCAGAGAGCAACACCTCGCACTGCGCTCGCCAATCCGCCTAAGCGTGGTGAGTATGGCACTACCCCCAATTGGGGGAAGCCTATGCCAGCAATGGACAGTTGTGGCTGTAGTAGTAGTATAATTTGATTATCAGAAGAGCACCGTATTCCAATTCTAGGGTTGTTTGTGTAGATGGCGCTAGGAATGAAAGATGGCGCAGGTTATAACTGGAAATCGTGTTCAGAAATAAATCTACGACCAGAGCACTCTATTGCCACAGAAGTAGGCATTGTATTCAAATGCAGTGGTGTAAAACGGGAAACATTATTTATTTGTAGACCTGACCTTTGAGATTCCAGGCGATTTTTTTACCTGACCTAAAAAGGCGTTAGTAGGTAAGAACGTCTAAGTGAGAGTTCCCGCGCGTGTTGCAGGTTAGCCCCGCTTTGGAAACTAATCTTTATTATTACTACTTACGCTGTGTTAACAAACAACTGTAGATTTGGCAGAAGTACTTACCTGAAAACAAAGAAATAACTATTAATAAAACATCCTGGGTTGAATATTTGGGTCATGTACCCGGACATTCGGAAATGACACGTAATACCAAAGCTTATAAATAAAAGTGGTTATTTTTCGATGGAAAGCTAAGCTTATGAAAACTCTATAACATATGAGACCAGTTCACTGCCGCTTCAGCTTGCTACACTTACAGACTCTGTCTGTTACTTTTGTCTTCGGGTCCGGGATTATCCATCTCAGTAGCCTACCCTCTGTTACATTAGGCACACTTATACATACGGGTAAGTTTCTTAATATTCAGCAATCGACTGCAAAAATATCAGGGATATTTTTATTGCACGAGCACGACATCAACAACTCAGAATATGCACTTGTGTTATCAGATACTATCAATCTGCCGTGTCCAGGCATTGAAACATTAGCTATTTCGTGGAATACCTTACGCGCATCACTATGACGTTGTAGTGTATGGGGTCGTATGAGACACGACACACCGCGGTACGCGCATGATGACGTGCACGTATACGCAGGCAGTGGGTGCCTCTCATACATTCCCATACATTAGAACTGGTACGCGCGTGATGACGCGCACGCATACGTCCTGCATACGGAGGCGGTGTGTTCTGCCCTTAAACCTTATTTTCGCGAACAATTGCATTAAGTCGAATGTTGCTTTATAATTATAATTTGTCCAAATCGGATGGTGGGCACGCCTCTAACATAAATCGGAGCACGCTTTCACTCTCGCTTTTAAGTACCGGAACAGAACCTTCACTTCGCTTGCATCTGTGTTGAGTCTTGGTTGAGTCAGTGCCGGTGTAATTTCATTATGATGAATATAATCGGGTCGTTGGTCGACTTGGTGTCCCACACGGAAAAAAAAGAAGAAGAACCCAGCGACCTTCGGCATATGTACTGCCGACGCGACTACCAACTGGGCCACCGGGATCCTACCCTGAGAATTAAACTAGGATAGAACCGCGGACACGTCGTAGGTTCAAGACCTGCCTGCCAGCGATGGACATTTTTCAAGATTTCCATAAATTGTTATTAACAGCACTCCTAGTCTGCTACAACCTACTAAATAAAAAGACCACTTCTTGCTGTTTATCAATATCCGTGTGGAGGATCAGTATAACACGGTCAGTTATAGAGGTTTCCTGTTTCTGTGTAATGTTTTATGACATAAATTATAATAAATTATCCCCTTACGTAAGTTACGTACGGCTCATTTTCCGATTTCTCTGAAAGGGCGCGCGGAAAAACGTCTGTATGTTTGCGGCCCCTTGATAGATCGTTATATATTTTGGACCGGGTTGAATTCGGGTCGGCTTAAACACTATCCATTAAAATGTCGCTAGACCAGCTGACAGTTTCCAACCAACCAGAATAAAGCCGGAACTAAAAACCTGGGCCGCACAATAGAGAATGCCTTTGCCTAAGCAAGATAAAGAAAAAAACTGCCAGTGAAAGTGCCAGTAACGTCTGATAATCAACATTTAAAATTGGAACACGCCGACCTCATTCCGCACACATCTTCGCATGGGTGCGGACGGTCTTTAAATAAACCTTAAAAATAATATCCACATTTCTATTTATAACAATGTTCATTCATGCAAGACTTTATGTATAGTAAACGACAGGTTAGATTTCTAAAACATGCACGAAAATACTAGGTACTCGATGTGAGATTGTTCCCAGTTTGTTTGCTAAGGGATACTGAATTGTATATCTTTCCTGTGGGTGTGTATCAGCATAGATAGGCTGACTACCTGTCTATGCTGATATACACTGTCTTCCGAACGACTCTCAAACTTTTGTCAGACGTGGTGTAAATGGCCGTTTTTATAGTCATTTACGCTCTGCTAACTCCAAAAGGGATATAGGTGTGATATACCTATTATGTATGTATGTATTAGTTACAAAAGCAGGGTTCATCGGTTCTTTCGTGGATTCTGTGCACACGACAAACAAGAACGACGGTTTTATTCAAATGTTACGCTCTGATAAGTAAATTATTTCGGCAGCTTTCTCTTTGCCGAATGGAATTCACGAATTCACGGATCTTTGCGAGCCAAGATGGCTACATGAATGATTTTACGATATTGAAATTGATGTGGCCGTTCGGTTTTATAAACGGTAAATATGAAATCAAGCAAGGGTATTACAATCTATGAGATAATAGAAACAAATAAGTGAAATAAGTAAGTACTTGTTGTTATTTGGTGCTCAATATATCGTGAGATTTTAGGTATTTTTCGACATAAAGTTGCAACGTCTAAAATCAGCGACTTGCACTAGAAATATTATATTTCTAAATTGTAAACATTAAAGATCTCATAATAATATTAAAAATACGTTTCAAATGTTGGTTACTTTTGTTACTTTTCTCCATCGAGCGAAGTTAATTTGTCCGAAAGCAATTGTTTGGTGTTTTGGCTCTTAAATCCTTTTTTGTCCTGTTAAAAATGGGCCACCGAGTCGACGAACGACCCGACGAACCCTGTTGTAAGGTAACTATTTACATTGTTCACTCGTATAACTGCACTGGCCTGACCTCTAATGATTGGTGCTCGGCTGCTCGCTCATCGCACGCTATACAAGTAGACACAGACTAGAGATCATAGTCAAGGTTATTGTGCACTGAAGGTTTTATATAAGGTTATTTGTATTTTGTGTAAATTCACTGCAATTTGCACTGAAAGAGGCGACGACGTAGTACCATCGAGTACTTTAGGGCGTCTATAAAAGTGATGGGCCGAATATTCGGTTTATGTTCGGTCGGTATTCGGCTTTACCGAATTTCCGGTTTCGGCCGAATGTTCAGTCTTCTTTTCGTGTGGGACACCGAGTCGTTCAACGAATGTTCAGTGAATTTTGCCGAGTAAAACCGTATTCTTTTTATATGTATTGCATTGTAAATTCTTATGTCAAGACAAGCAATGAAGCAGTTTTATTATAATTTGTTGTCAAGATTTCTAACGGCGCAATGCAGTGGCCTGGTGCGAATCAGCGCGCAATTCGTAATCTAGTTAGTGATGCTCCAAATTATTTTATATGGACATCGATTCCTGTCAATTATTCGGTTCGGCAAACTAAAAGTTCGACTAGTCTATATCTTCGAAAAAATATAGATTTTAATGGTCT